GTTTCCAACCACCGCCGAATTGGATAATGAGTGGTATGAAAATTTTTCTCGAAATATATTAAAAATGTAACTCATTGTGTAGATCACAACGAAATCATTTAATTTGTGCAAAATCTTTTAATCCAAGTTATAAAGATTAAGATAAAACCCAATTAAAATAACCAAAGTGTGAAAAAACTCTTTAATCTCATCCCACAAATCTGAACACTTCTTACCTCACTAAAAACTAAACATCCCAATTTGATGATGAAAGTAGGAATGACAACAAAACCCGAACCCACGGGTACCCTAACCGGTCAACGCGGGTGAAACCCGTGTTGACGGGTTTTGCGCAGGGTTCGGGTTTAACCTGTTCACTATTCATCGGGTTGGGTTGGGTTTGGATTTAGGTATACCCACCCCATGGATACCCACTCACACCCATATAATTAATATTCTAAGCAACAACTAATCTTCTTTATGTTTGTGGAGACATGTCTAAACTTTTCTTTCTAATTGTGTATAATGAAGTTGATATTATCGAGTGAAAAGTGGAGAATTTTAATTCCCAAGGAGGAAGAAGTTTTCAATTAATAATGTTGTTTTATGGATAATTTGTGATTTGCTTCAATATTTTGAGTTTTATAGATTGGTGTTGAACAATTTGTATGGTTAATTTGTGATTTGTTTAAATTTTCTAGAATGGTTGGGTTGGGTTTGAGTTCTTCAAACTCAGTGGGTTTTACCCTAGGTTTTTTCACTAATAAACTCATGGGTTTGGGTTTGGATTTGGCAAAACCCGACTCAACCCAACCCATTGTCGTTCTCAGATGAAAATCTGTCTAACCCTATCCTAAGCCCCAAACTAATGTCTAGTTAATCTATGATAGAGTGTGTTATAATTTGTTAAAAAGGAATAGAGAAATAGGCGAACGGATCTGGTCAGTAATCTTGAGGTGAGTAACCATGCATAACTCAATCAATATCCGCCACATCAGTGGCCAGTCTCTCTCCTAAAAAGACTTTAATTTCCCCCTCCCCTCAATCTTTGACGGACGATTCACTTGTTTTAAGTCGGAAATTAAAAAAATTTGCACAGTTAGATCAGATTAATTGTGATATTCAAAATGATATCCACTTTGATATATTTTTGGAACAAAAAAAAATTGAGACATTTTTTACTAGTCTATACCATATGTTATTGACTGGTATTGAAATAAGAGCATATCATATGGTATGAAAATAGTATCATGATGGTATGAACATACCAAGACCGTAGGAAAGTTGAATACATGATACTAGGAGTATACTAACTATCATTTACGACTTTTAACATTTTGTACCACAAGATACCACCCCGTACCAGGGTGGTATATTTTGATCCTGTATTTTGTTCACCTAGAAAATTTTAGATCCAATAGATCATGATGAACTCGTTCCTGCTGTGCAAAATTTTTCAAAAACGACTTGAAAACGAAGAAGATATGATATGGTATGTTGGTAACGAGAGGCAAGAAAAAAAAATTCTCAAAAAATATTGAAAAGGGATTTCATTTTATAGAGTACAACGAACTTGTTCCCTCTGTGCAAATTATTTTTGAAATTCGAGTTAAAACGGAGAAGACGAGCGAAAATAAAAATGTCTTTAATTCTCCATCCTTAAATTTGGATTTTCTGAATTAAGGGATCATATTTAGTTGTTGATGGATGTATAACCCACCGTATCTGGAGCTGAGAAAGAGGCACGAAAATGGAAAGATCAGCATGGACAACAAATCAAAAGGAGGAACAAAGATAACGAAAAAGAAGAAAAGAGCAGAAAAACAAGAGACCGAGGGCCACTATCGGCAGCCTCCATGTCGACAGCTTTAGAGAGAGTGGAGCATAAAAAACCTAAATCAGGTAATGACTGGTATGACATTTTTTCTCAAACTATATTAAAAATAAAACTCATTGTATAGATTACAACGAAATAGTTTCATCCATAAAAAATATTATTCCAAATTACAAAGATTAGGTTAAAACCCAATTAAAATAACTAAAGAGTGAAAAATAAACCCCTTCATCTCATCCCACAAATCTGAACACTTCTTACCACTCTCAAAACTAAACATCCCAATCTGATGATGAAAGTCTGTCCAACCCTATCCTAAGCCCCAGAAAGAATAATGTCCGGTTAATCTATTCTAGAGTGTGTTATAATAATTTGTTAAAAAGGAATAGAGAAATCGGCACGAAAATGGAAAGATCAGCATGGGCATCACGTGGTTCTCCATTTCCTTTACACATCTCCCTCCCCAACCTCTCGCCCCGTCCACGTCACACATCTTCCAAATCTCTCTCCTCTTCCTCTCGCTCTCTTCTCTCTCTGAAAGGGGGGAAATAAGATCGACCAGACAGAAACACTTCAAACTCCCTTCCACCGCCACCGCATCCCAAATGACCACCGCTACAGCCGCCGTCACCACCATCAACGACCTCCCTGAGGCTATCCTCTCCGTAATCGTCGCCTCCGTCTCCGACACCCGGGCACGCAACTCCCTCTCCCTAGTGAACCAGAAGTTCCTTTCATTGGAGCGAGCCACGCGCTCCTCCCTCGCCATCCGGGGCAACGCGCGGGACCTCTTCCTCATCCCGACCTGCTTCCGATCCGTCACTCACCTCGACCTCTCTCTGCTCTCCCCCTGGGGCCACTCCTTCCTCCTCTCCTCCGCCGACGCCCAATTGCTGGCCGCCCTCCTCGCCGGCAAGTTCCCTTCCGTCACTTCCCTCACCGTCTACTCCCGATCTCCCCTCACCCTAGACGTCTTGCTCGCCCACTGGCCCCGATTGAGCCATCTCAAGCTCATCCGCTGGCACCAGCGCCCTTCCTCCCTCCAGCTCGGCGACGATTTCGAGCCCCTCTTCCGACATTGCGCCCACCTCCGGAGCCTCGATCTCTCCAATTTCTACTACTGGACCGAGGACCTGCCTCCGGTTCTGCAGCGGCATCCCCTCGTCTCCAAATCCCTCACGCGCTTGAACCTGCTCACGGTCTCGCTCAGCGATGGGTTCAAGGCGGAGGAGATTGTCGCCGTCACGGCTGCTTGCGGCAATCTGACCGAGTTTTTCGTCGCCTGCACGTTCGATCCAAATTACAACGGATTCATCGGCGACGAGACGCTGCTTGCGATTGCTGCCAATTGCCCTAAATTATCCATTCTCCATCTAGTCGATACGGCGTCGCTGCTGACAGTGAGAAGGGCTCCGGAGGAAGACGGTTACACAGCGGAGGACGCGCTGGTGACTGTGGTGGGGCTGACGGAATTCTTGGCAGGGCTTCCGCTTTTGGAGGAGCTGGTTCTGGACGTTTGCAAAAACATTAGGGGCAGCTCCACAGCTCTGGAAGCTCTGAAACGGAAATGCCCCAAATTGAAAGTGCTCAAGTTAGGGCATTTCCATGGAGTTTGTCTGGCGATTGAGTCGCAGCTTGATGGGGTTGCCTTGTGCTCGGGGCTCGAATCGTTATCGATCAAGAACTCGGCTGATTTGACTGACATGGTGTTGATAGAGATTGCCAGGGGTTGCAGCAAGCTTTGGAAATTTGAGGTTGAGGGTTGCAATAACATAACAGTACAGGGTATGAGGACGATGGCTTGTTTGCTTCATAAGACGCTTGCCGAGGTTAAGATCTCCGCTTGCAGGAATCTCAATGCGGTTTCTTCGGTGCGTGCTCTGGAGCCTGTCTGCCACCGAATCGAGAGATTGCACATAGACTGTGTGTGGGATGGCCTGGAGAAGGAAGAGTATGGTAGTTGCCTCGGTTTCGATTTGAATGAGGGTCTCTATGATGAGGACAGTTATGGTAGCGACACGAAGAAATGCAAGTACTCTTCTTCAGAGTCGTCATCCTATCATTACAGTAATGGGAATGGGTTCAGCAGCAGCAGAAGAACATGGCAGAGGCTCAAGTATCTCTCTTTATGGATTCCTGTTGGCGAGCTATTGACGCCATTGCCGAGGGCTGGTCTTGAGGATTGTCCCAAATTGGAGGAAATTCGAATAAAAGTTGAAGGAGATTGCAGAGAGAGACCAAAACCATCCCAGGGTGGTTTTGGGTTGAACACTCTGGCCGAGTTTTATCCTGAGCTGTGGAAGATGCAGCTGGATTGCAGCGAGACGATTGGTTACGTGCTGACAGCTCCATCGGGGTCAATGGATCTGAGCCTTTGGGAGAGGTTTTTCTTGAATGATATAGAGAGCTTGAGCATTGTGGAGCTTGATTACTGGCCGCCTCAGGATCGGGAGGTTAACCAGAGAAGTCTGTCGCTCCCAGCAGTTGCGTTGCTTTCCAGATCCCGGACGTTGAGGAAGCTGTTCATCCATGGGACTGCACACGAGCATTTCATGAGGTTCTTCCTGGCGATTCCTAGCTTGAGAGATATGCAGCTGAGGGAAGACTACTATCCGGCGCCAGAAAATGAAATGAGTACCGAGATGAGAGTGGACTCCTGCAGTCGGTTTGAGGATGCGCTGAATTCAAGACACATCCCTGACTGAAATGACCCAGTTTTTATTTTCTTCGTCTTCCTGTTGTGATTTTGTACTAGTGCGCATTGTGAACTGAACTTATCACCAATTCACTTGATCTCTGCTGTAAAAGTTGTTCCCATTTGACACTTTCTGAGTTCAAGCATTTTGCTGTTTCTGCGGACTCTCAGCTGCCATGTTAGTAAAGTTTTGTTGGGTATATAAGTTGCATCAAGAATATGAACAAACTCTCATTTTATGTTCGAGGAAGATAGGGAGGAACGGAAGAGAGACAATTCAGCGTTGTAATTTCTACTGCATAACACGGAAAATTGGAAGGCCTCCTAGTACGATTTTGAAGTGCTTCGAAAAACAAAAGTACGAAATGTTTTACAACTTGAACAGCCGGGGGAGAACAATGTCCACACTCTACCTTGTTGAACTTAGTCCTGTTTTCTGTACACAAGAAAAAGGTAGTCTTTTGTTGTTTCCTCTTGTTTTTCTTTTTGGTATCAGCAAAGGGAATACTCGCAATCAAGCAACCGAGATAGGATTTCTTCGCAGCTTGGTCGCTGATGCGCTTCAGCCCAGCAGTCTGTAATCGAAACATTAAAGGAATCCTTAATTCATCTATGGTTTCAACTGAATTTTACTCGGAATTTCAGTTTCTGGATTTTGTTGTACCTGAAATCAACCTTCCCAGCGGACCTTCCGGAATCTCCAATCGGGATCCCTCGTTAGCAACAGCATAAACAACCTGAGAAGGAAAAGAAACAGAAAGCAAATCAGAACAGAAACCAACATCCTACCTTTTCCCCTGTTAGACAGAGTAAGGAGTAAACAATTCCCCTTCCCTGAAAGAACGAACAAATAGGTGCTGTGGAGGGAGAATAGTACGTACTCTTTCAGGTGGTATTCCTTCCCACGGTCTATTGAGAGTGCAGAGCTCCCACATTATGACTCCTAAGCTGAAAATGTCACATTTCTCAGTGAAAGGTTCGCTGCGGATGAGTTCAGGAGCCATCCATTCAGGGGTTCCTGCTGACGATGAGTCCGTTACCGGTTTGGTCAACATGATTCTTGAGAGCCCGAAATCGCAGATCTTGACAGTCCAATGCTTGTTTACGAGACAGTTTGCACTCTTGAGATCGCGATGAACTATCTTCATCCGATGTATGCACATCAACCCTCTGAATCAACAAAAACATACAGGCTAATAATGAGTGCACATCTCTGGAATCGAAGCTATGATGCACAAGACATTTCAGAACAAGAAATAATTCTCCTTCATTTTTGTATTGTAAAAACAATGTGAACGTAGGTAATGGGAGACGTCTAAGGTAGTGAATTCCGAATTTTACTTCAGAACAGAAAAAAAAAAACAATCGAAATAGGCATTAGTATCATTTTTTTTCCCCATCTTTTTGAAGTGAACTAACAGCTTAGCATTTCACTTCAAACATAAATGCGAAAGCCAGTTTATACTTTATATACAGATTTCGGGATCAAGTCATGTCGCCTCTGTGACTGAATAAAACAGCTTTCGTAAAAAAACAAAAACTACAAACAGAGACCGCAAAAGCAAATTTGTTGGTTTAGTTGAACCCCATAGTCACTGATGAAGCAAGAAAGGAACACTTAGCCCTTCACCAAAAGAAAAGGAACAAGAGAACATTGCACACTGCCGTGGCTATAAGACTGATTCAGAATTCCTAACTTTGGAAACTCAAGCCCAATGAAGCACTAGTCCCTATATTGTCATATATTACATCTTTCAATAATCCTTCAGAGAAATATAAAGCTACAGCTTCATTTGTTAGACTCGGTATCTAGAAGCCAATTAGTTGAAGAATAAGATTCTCGGAATGTCGATTAATTGACAACATATAACTCTTAATAAAAAGAGGTTGATAGCAGTATATTTATCTGTTAAATGTTTTCACACAACAGCTTTTTTGTTTTACTCTTTCATTCATTATGAGCTAAAATGGAAAGCTGAACACCGCTAATCTAAACCTTCTGTGTTAAAACTACATGTTGAAAACCAGCAGTGGTACCGCTAGAGCAAGCTCTCATTCACTAAGCCTCCAATTCCGGATATGTAGGTACAAGTACAACAGTACTTTTAAACATAGGTGTAAAATGAAAGTTGCAGTTATTAATTGGTGATGTAAATAGAAACAATCAAACTATGGTTTTCCATTTCCTTACAAAAAAAAAGTACGGGGCATCAATCAAAACCAGCCAACGGATCTATGATGAGCACTTCATAAAAAATAAAAATAAAAACGGATCTATGATGAGCAGGATGCAGAATTGAAGCGTTTTTTCTTTTGGGTTGTAGAATTGAAATGCTTTTGATGATAACAGGAATTGGCTGAATATGCAGCTTATCAAAAGAGCAACTGATTGATGAGATGACAAACCTGCATATATCACGCAACATTTTCAGCCGCCTCCGCCAACTAAGCTTCTTCTTTTGACCACTTAAATGGATTAGGTAATACAAGGATCCCATTTCCATGTACTCGGTCAGCATTGACAATCGGGGAGGCTTTGTGCAAGCACCCAAAAACAATATAACTGCAAGAACATTATGGATTTACTGAACAATGAGTGGGCGATAGACATAAATCAGACGAGGATATCAGCAAAAGCCTCTATGACATTCCAGTGCTAGTGACTACTAACTAATGATGAGTAGGACATTTGAATAGAAGCACCATCACAAGATGCATTTTTGGCATTTATCTGTTCAGTGGTACTACCATATAGTCTCTACATGCCTAAGAGCTACCAAAGAACTTAATACCAGAAGTATTGGGTAACAAGGAGTACCATTAGGATGACGAAGGCGACTGGAAGAGAACGATGCAGGGACAAGAAAAGAGAATTCAATTAGTGGAATATGTTGATAGCCTTAAACTTAAAAACAATAAGATTGGCAGATCAACAGGTAAATACCTAAGAATGGATATTTCATTGCAAAAGTCTTCCATGTTTTCAGCTGTTAGATCTTGCTCTAAGAAAACTTTGATAGCAACATCTGTCCCATTCCATACGCCTCGGAAAACTTCACCAAAAAACCCTAGCATAGTGATCGATCAAGAAAATTCAAGTTAATAAATATCGCATGCAGCATATTTGCATATATGACTTCAACCCAACAAACAAAAAGCTACATTATAAAAGATGAGCTGATTTTAAAGCAGCTATGTAAAGAACAAGTCTATTCATCATGACAGCAACATCACTATTTCACCTCCATGTCAGCTTCCAATAAATAGGCATAATTAACAGTTTATCTCAAACAAAAGAAATCCAGTGTACCCAACGCCCACACACTTTTTTCCATTTCATAAGATCATCTAATCACAAGCGCAAATTTATAGTGGCATCTCAAACCCAAACACGTTAATTAATTGCAACTAAGTTTGTAAGAAAACAGCACATCGTCATAGTCTGACATGAGAACAACAAAATTGCATGAAACAGATAAGAAAAGCTTAAATAAGGTAATCGAAAGCTTACCAATCCCAACACGAGTTCCAACAGTTATTTCTGAGAAATCAATATTCCATTCATCATAAGGTAACAGAGGCTTATTCTGTAACATTTGTGACTCAAGGACTTTATTCCACGTCGTGACCAATTCATCGTTCGTGGAATAGCCAGAAGGTCCAACTCTCTCTAGTGTTTGGCTACTATATTCATGCGGCGAGGATGGTAATGATATTGCCTTCTGAGAATTTTTGTGGGCCACCTGAAGTGCACATAAGCTAGGCCTTCTGCTAGATATATCATTGCGACCATCAGGATCAAAATTTGTCAGCTGAAACAGAGAATAAGTTAACCGATTATGACAAATGAAGCCAAACAACCACAAAGAGCAGTTAAAGCGGAAAGCTTACAAACATCTGGACAAGACTAAAAGCAAAGGCTTTCACTGTTCAAGCATGTAATCCAATTATTTAAAAATAAAAACATGTTATCCAATGTAGAACCAAAAACAACTACCGAACTCAGTGAAAAATATGCCAAGCTTGCTGATATTTGACTCTACTCCCACAGAAGAGCATAACAACCAGCTGACTACTTCTACATGAACAAAACACTGTTTATTTGTCACACAATCAGAACACCTTGCACAAACTTCCAGCAACAGTTAAACACTCAATTCCTAATACGATCTCTCTTATCTCTTGACATTCTGCTTCAACAAATTAAGTTTAAGTTTCTTTATAAAAAAAAAATCAAGTTCAAGTTTACAACTGCAACTATGTTTGCGTCAACCATGAAGATCAAATAATGACGTCATCAAGCCTTTCAGTACCACCAAGAGATGTGCCTTCCAAGTAAGGATTTCTTTTCTTTTGTCAAGCCTTAGCTAGGACGTTAAATATTGTAAATATCCATTACCATCTTCCAGCCAAATTTGAGCTCACAATTCCAGATAACAAGTTTCTTCATCCCCAGCGGACTTCTTTCTAACATAGAAAGTTTTGTTATCATTTCCAAACCTATACTGGAGCAAATTATGAAGAAAGAAAAAGAATGATATAGCCACACACTTTCATGTCAAGGGCTGAAAAAAGATAGATAGCATGAAAAAGGCAGTGGACACAGAATTAAGCATAACAAAACAAGTAAGAACAAGTAAAATTATGAGCAGAATACAGCAATGTTAAGATAGTGTCCCATGGTCATAACAACCATACATTTTTTTGATGATCTGAGCTGTTGTCCTTCTCAACCGAATTAACTGTAGAGGATGTACCATCTCCTCGCTCCCGCATTAGACGGTTCTGCTTCAAAGTTTCATTCATGGCCCGCACAGCCCTGAAAAAATTCACAGCAAAACTAGAGTTAGGCTGTCACATAACGGAACTCCATGTTTTATAGGTATCCAATTACACAGAAGTTTGAAGAATATAAGTTCTGTGCTTCAGTCAAGATTACTTGAGATGCACTTGGTTGAAATGTGAAAAAAGTTACCCCTCTAGTCTAAAATTCAGATACATGCATTACTCCTTAGAATGTCATCAGTCTTATACGTTAAGTTTGCACCCACCCATCTGTCAATGACCAACCCAACATATTTTTATCTTGATTAATCGCAGCCAGAAACTGACCATAACTTCGCCTCAGTGAACTTAAAATTGTATAACCACATCAGATGCTGCGCATGCTGCTGTGTGCAAGTGTTTCTCTTCTTTCCCCACACTTTATCAAGTAGTCAAGTGATGTATAACCATATATTATTTTGGGGTCGTTTGGAGGTTGGGATTTCAAGTGATGTATTTAACCAATACATGTAATGTCAAGATTAAGTTGTTTTTTTTTTTTTTGGCTAAATATGAGATAGAATACATGTATTACCTTTCTTATGGGCCCAACTACAACCACTCAAAATGAGTGATTATCGATCTCTACCAAAAGGTGAGATTGTCAACAAGGACTTGTCACCCAACTTTACTTTAACAAAATCTAAACCTCCGAACAAGGTATTTTCTAAATTCATACATTTAATCAATGCATCAAGTTACAATATACAAATTGATTAAATGCATCAATTTAAAGAATCTCAACCTCCAAACGACCCCTTACATTCATACCAAATATAAACTGTCCAGAGAGCCAATCAGCAATATTAACAACTTGCAACAGAATGTAAGCTAACAGGGATCCCGAACTAAAACTAAATCATGACAGTAACCTAAAGGAATAACCTCTCTACAGTAACTCAAACTCGAACATAAATGTAAATCAAAACAAAGGTGAACAGAACACCAACCTCACAATATCATCACCAATCTCTGGGGTCATGCTAATGCTTCTTCTTCTTAATCTACGGGGCTCCAATGTTGTTGATGCTCCTTCTGACCTGTAGCTAATGCCATTGATGAAAATTAGAATTCAGGGAGGACAGCACAACCGACCTTACATATCTAGCAATGGTCAATAAAAGCTCAGAAAAATGAGATATGACACCTTGTGGCATTTGAGTCCTAAAACCAATCATTATTTTTGCCTTAAATTATGTGGCTTGATATACTTACTTATCGGTCATCACCTGTCTATCTCAATATCAGATGACCAAAGATAGAAACCAACAACGAAGTCTCAGGTAAACAAGCAGGACTAAAATGTTTCTTCCCAAACTGAGGCGTAGGCCTTAAAAGAATAATGCCATCTAATTTACGAATAGGGCTAACTTGCTAAATTGGCTATTCATATTCAACGAAAAAAAAAAATAAATTGGCTATTCATAATCATGGTGCTCAAAACTCTCCATCAGCGCTTTTGTCCTTGGCTTTTTTATGTATCTCTTGTAGTTTTAATTCTCAATTAGGTCATAAAAAAGGAGACATGAATAGTCAAAAAAATTTAAATGGTCGATCTATGAAGATCAAAATTTATATATTAGTTTATTTGATTTTACAGTTCAAAAAGATTCACACTGGACATTCAATTACTTTTAGTCAAATAGATTAAAATATTCAGTACCTGCTATTCAATGTTCGTATGTCGAGGAAAAAAGGAGAAATGGGTATCTTCAGATACGTCATATATAATTAAAAATATTTTTTTGAAGAAAAACGAATGTGTATAAAATAAACAAAAGAACACACCTTGAGGAAGCTACATCCTCGGGATAATCTCTAATTGAGTGCCTATCACCACTTAGCATAGACCTTCCGCGTACCCGTAATGAAGGATGCTCTGGACTGCAAAATGATGCTTGATCAAAGATATGATTGAAAGTTTGCATAGACAACAATGTCCAACTAAGGAGAAAAACTATTGATGACAGGAAGTGAATAAGGGAGCCTCCTCTTAGTTTTACATAGTTGATATACAATATCCAACTTCTGCAACAAACGCATCCTTCCAACTTCCTATAAAGTCCTATTTCAAACTGATGTGGAGCGCAAATCACTTGATCTTTTTAATTTAAGCAATATTACGCTTAAATTTCACCGATTTCTTCCCCAAAAAGTTCTGAAGCCTGTTAACTATTGTCATTACAATATTAGAGCTTTCATTTACACTAAAAGAGTCTACAAATTGGGGGTCAATTAGTAATTCACTTATTTGTAATTGTTTTCCAATGCAAAAGTGAGATTACTTTACAACTACTTCAGTCAAACATACTTCCACTTCTCCAACTAGCTTTTGCAGACAACAGCTACAGGTCTCCTACTTAGTGAAACTAGTAGAGAAGCTTTACACTGACAAGAGAGATACAGTTGTCGAAAAGATAAACGGAAAACAAACAGTATGAAATACACAAAATCAAGCAGCGTACGAAGTAAGCTGCAAGCTGAGAGTGGCCATTGCAAAATGACAGAATATAAACAGTGATAACATTTTAGTTGGAAACCACAGGATGATAGAGTATAATTCAAGCTAGCTATGACAGAAAGCACAAAATTTTAGAAGACCAAAAATCAAAAGGTACTTTGAGAAGCAAGTCTGTCATGGCTAATCACAGACATTGACTATGAGTCAAACATCAAAGCTACCACCTAAAAGCACATTTGACTTTCAAAAACGTTGGTAGCAGACATAAGGGTCAAAAGAAAAGAAACCTTGAACTAGCAGTCCGCTGTTCAGCTATCACCTTTTTCCGGCTACGCCGCCAAAATGCTGTAGCGATATTGGGTTCACTATGTGATAAACTGAGGCAAAACGGGAACAGAAAATGACAGAGAGGATACAGTTCAACCACAAGAACTAGGAATAGTAGTGCTTGGTAGCCAATAACAAACACATAACAAGAGGGGAAATGAGGGCAAGAAAAGACTGTCTGCCAATAAAGGAGGAACAAGACAAGAAAGCATCCAATATGAAGTCCATCTATGCAGCAGAGAGAAATGAGGGCAAGAAAAGACTGCGTGCCTAAGTTTTCTATCCAGGTTTGAGGCAGAGCGCAACATCATATTCCGCAACGATGGGCCTGATGCATTTGCAGATCCATCTAACTTCCGATGGAACTGATGACCGTCATCTTTTTCAGCACTGCGACAATGAAACATAAATCAATAACTACTTAAACAACTTTTGATGACTGATTCACATTCATATATAGCCTGTGAATGTCATGTTTCAAGGTTAAAGTGGAAATCATGGATGCTAGCCTGTCAGGATCGACTTTCTCTGGGAAACCATAGAGAGGACTGTTTGGTTCAAGTGGTGAATCGCAAGAATCATTTTCAGCAGAATCACTCTCCCCTGCTGCTGAGATGTGAGTCATAAAAATTGCTCTGGTAGACCGTGGGATTAACTGGCCAGGAAATCGCATAAGATCTACCAGTAGTTCCACCGAATTCAACACAACAATGACTGACATGTGCTTATATGAGTCTGCACACTCAACGGATCCGTCATTTGGCAAACCCTGGAGAAAATATTGAAGGTCAATAATTATTATGAGCTATGAAAGGAGTTACTAGCAGTATTTCAAAAAAAGACCCTGTATTACAGCTCTGAGACATATCTGAAAAGGAAAAAACATTGAACTCAAAAGCTTACCACAACAAGCCTACTCTCAAGACCCACAGTATCTGCCAGAACTTTGAACAAGATCGCTCGAGGACGGCATGAACCATGTCTTATTTGCCCAAGCAATTGAACTCCTCGATTTTCAAGCATGTGATAAGTTTCCTCCACGGATGTTCTCGCGGGGCTGTCAACAGTAGGTCTTTTGTAAAAATCAGATACCTGAGGGAAAAATCAGTAGTAGAAATAAGGGTTACTAGTAAATCAAAATGTACTAGGAACTATGACATATATAGCAAAAAGTTGAACAATTTTACAGCGGAAATCAATCATCCCAGTGTGTACAAAGCCAAAAATAGGATCATCACAATAAGATGACAGAAAGGAACTGTTGAAACTTAGAAACACCTCAAGAAAAAGGAAAGAAAGACAAAAGAGAATTTATTTTGTTTCTGCATAAGGCTTATCAGGACATTCAAGCAGTACAGAGATGGGTATGAGATATATTATCTTACCAACCCAGCAATCTTCTTTATCATGGCAGCTGGATTTGCACTCAATCCTCTCACTAGTGCAGCAATCAACTGCTTCAGCATTGACAGCTTTTTATCTTTCTTAGAATCTACAACAATCACATCAGCCCTGAGAGCCTCATTTCCAAGAGAATGGAGTTCATCCAGGGTTGGAATGCACTCAAAATGCTCTTTTAGTCTTTTATCCTGTCAAAAGTTGAGAACTTCAATAATAAGCATGAAAAATAAAGTTCTAACCACTGAGAGTTTATCTGGTCTTACGAACATTGAAGGGGTGAAGAAAAATTTTCTTACACTACTCGTCAACAAGAATTTAAATTACATTAACAGAAATCATTTATTTATGAATGATATCCAGAACCATATCCTAGCCAGTATCAACTAAAAGTCAACACAGGAAACATGGACAACATCAGCCAGTATCACTATTCCAAGCTCAGTACCTCCAAGCCAAAGATAAAAAAAAATCCCTGTTTGGCTGAAGGACACACCAAAAGGAGTAACTAACCAACTCTCAAATAGATCAAAAGGCAGTTACGGAGGTTTTAAATTACAACTAGACTGAAAACTGCCTACAACGAACTTTTTCCCTTTACTCCACATCAGAGCAAGGAAAGCAAAACTGAATTATCATCCATAGAGTATTACTTATATGAAGCTAGGCAAGATGTTATAGGTGGTCATAAATACACTTTGAAGTGCATTTCAAGAAACTGAAATATTATCTCTGAATTAACCAATGAGCGCCTACTTGGTTAAGGTTGGACAAGCAAAGCAAACTCAAGAAACTGAACTATTAGATCTGTGTTGTCAGGCATTTCATAAACAAGGCTTATTTCCATGATAGAAAATCAGATGACAATCAACACAATAAACAAAGTTCTGAAATCATGAACAACAGTGTTCACATGGAAATCATATTCTTATTATTCCTAGCACAGTCAGTCTACAACATGGTATCACCAGTCAAATAGTTCAGAAAGCTAAAGAAAGAATCTCACAGGTGTGACAGAGTAGAAACCGTTAGGAATTGGTTCTAAAAGCATTCCAGTGCTCCAAAGAACTTGTGATGCAGTTTGAGAAGACAAGTCATCTTCTTCATAATTTCTAGGTGATTCTTTATTACTCAGTGTATCTTCTTGAGAATGTAACGAAACAGAGTCAAACTTCTCCATAAAATCTGAACCCCACCATGCTGCATTAGAAGGCCCCTGCTCTGCTGGCCCTGCTTCATCTCGAGACTCCTCCATCTTTTTAAATATTTGGGATGTAAAACCATTTCGACTCCACTCCTCACCCCATAAAAGACTTGTTCAACATGGCAATAGTTCTGGGACAACTTCAGACACTATAATAAACCTCTCCATCTCCATTGTGACAGAGCCAGACGCCATTTGAATAGCGAACCCTATAAAATCAGTAAGGTGAATTATTTAGAGAACAAAATATAATGAAAAAGGGTAGAACCAAAACCAAGACAGCTTAAACAGAAGTACAGCAGTTATTTACTAAGCTCAATTATGTGAAACAATGGTAAGAATAATTTCTTAACCCCACTCTCTCTTGCCCAAATCCTAATTCCTCCTTCTCCTGATAGTTCGAAATTGTGAGAGGGTACAGATCCATCCATAGACATTTGAGAAATCTACAGTCCTCAATTACCATCTGTTTGAATTGATTCCTGTGCATATGGAGCTCCTAAGTCTTACCAAGCCCTACATCCTGATAGGAGTATTATTATCAGCCAGGCATTTTAACACCATGCCTTGTTACCTATAGTTGGAAAATTGTGAGAGGGTATCGATCGATCCATCCATAGAGATTTGAAAAGCCTACAGTTCTCAATTACCATCCGTTTGAATAGATTCCTGTGCATATGGAACTCCCAAGTCTCACCAAGCCCTAGATCCTAATACGAGTGTTATTATCTGTCAGACATTTGAGGACCATGCCCCGTTACCACAGTGACAACTCTCAAGCTACTTCATGGAGAATCACGACCTTTAAACATTCAAGCAACCTACAATTTCACAGCAGATTCTGAATCTACAGCTAAATCAAATGAAATCTCTATGCCGGCATTCCAGTGGGAACCGCAATCATAAATGTGCCCTTACAAGAGATCTTTACTAGGAAAGCATATCCCACAAACAGTTCCACCTATCACTTCAACCATGCCACGGCGAAACTTCTCCACTCCATAACTAACACATTATCAAAGCAATATCCAGGAACAGCATACCAAATCAACGACAGCTTGATTTAACAGCAAGAAGCAAGGCGTGATTCAACAATGTGACACACGTCGGCGTCAGGGACAACCAGACAATGAGCAATACGACAACGGCAAGTTTCGAATTTGAAAACCAAGAAACAAGAAAAAGGAAAAGGAAAATCGAAAGAAGACAAGATCAGAGCAAATGGAGAGCAATGGAGGAGATTACCAGCAGCAGATCCAAAGCCTTTCACAGAGCTCCCGCTCCGACCAATAGCATTTGAATCTCAAGACTACGAATCGGGGTCATCTAGCCTATGCCTTACCAGCGGCTCCGGCCGCCCCTAGAGAGAGAAAGTGAGTATGGAGGAACAGTTGGAGTCGGAAAGGAGAAGAAGTGATCAGAGAAACTCGGCAGCACAATCTTCCTATCCTTTTTTTCTCTTTTTACACAATTGGTCTACGGTGAAGGAGAGAGAGCGATCGTGATGGCGGAGATTCGAACGAGGGAGGAAGGACGAAAGGGGAAAAGGGAATGCATAGAGAGGGAGATCGATTTGGGTTTTATTTTTATTTTTCTTATTTCCTTTTGCTCTTCTTTTTTCTTTTTCTCTAATGGGAGGGCTTTGATTTTGCTTTCGTCATTTTGTTCCATTTTTACTGTTTCCTTTCTTTCTAAATTTTTCTAGTCGTTTTTATTATGCTTTCTGGGTAATGAAAATATTTGATTGATTGAAGTTGTGCATGGAATCTATTGATTTAACTAATATTTAGACTTCAGAGTTCAGACCATTATGAAATTTTATAAGAATTTATGTAAAAAATGTCATTATAAAAAACTTAGGTATCAAAATTTCATACGGAAGAATATTTTCATTAAAAATTAAAAATTAGATATCGAATTCTAATATACAAAAAAATATACGTCCTCAACTATAATATTTTACTATTTTATTAATTTAATTCATTAATCCACCAATCTATTTGAATTCGGATTAAATGGATTGGATGAGTCGGGTTTTTGGGTTGACAAATTGATTCAAATTATCGTCTCGAATTGAAACACTAGGAAGGCTTACACCAAAAGCTCCTCTCAAAGGGTTAGTATTGACTGCTAAAACTACTACTCCAATTCAATACTAATGTGTAGCCAATCACAAGAATGCAGTGTAGAGTTACTAAGTTTAATTATCAACTCAGGTTCTCTATATGTATCTATAAATTATCTATCTATACAATCCTCCAATAATATATAGTAGAGTTTTGACTACTTTTCTCTATTTCAAATTTTCTGCAACGAGAGTGAAAGTAGAAAGGGTAGTATAGAGTTACTAAGTTTAATTATCAACTCAGGTTCTCTAGATATATGTATAATCTATCTATCTACACAATTCTCCAATAATATATAGCAGAGTTTTGTCTACTTTTCTCTTTTTCAAATTTTCTGCAACGAGAAAGTAGGAAGGGCATTTTTTTCTTTACAATTAATTATTTATTCCGTATAAAAATGTCAATATCAAGATTTTAAGTCGGGTCTCCTCAAACAAAGACAACGATCACAACCTATTATACTAAAGAATTTGTTGTATCTTTTTAATACAAAATATACACAAAGTGACACTCTGAAAATCGGAGGACTTTTCATCATGATTAAAAAGCCACTAAGTCTATCGTATTTATTTTATGGTGCTTGATACTGCAAGGGTTAATAAGAGGGTTAATAAGAGGGGGAGAGTCTCTTCTTCTTCTTCCTCACTTCATATCATCATTTTCATACGACAATAAAAGAATGGAAGGAAAGGATAGTTAACAAAAGCCTAGCATATCTCTATAATCCCAGCAAAGGTTAAGGACCCATACAAACCTGATTACAAAGTCCAAACTCGTCAAACCAACTCACCGAAGATCATTCGCCGAAACTTTTGCCGTAACCTTTTCGTCAGCCAAACCAGCACATCTAAAGGCAGTATCAGCTTTGAAGCTTGATACCGTTGCGAAGAACAAGTCTCCACGAACATCACAGAGTTTACGGAATTGAATTCTGAGCTCAGACGAGGGAGAAACAAGGTCTGGAAGTTGGTATGTGAGGTAAGGGAATTTCCAGTTTTCAGCAGATTTTGGACAAGTAGAAAATTAAAAATTAATCCCTAATGTCGTACTAACGATGATCAGCTCGCAATTTCTTTGTTTGACGTCCAAGTCGTTTTCATCTACACGACCGTAGAAACGAGGAGGATTTTTGGAAATCAACCACTGGAATTTTAGAACTTAATTCCCGACTTCGAATCTACCGAATTAAGGTGTGTGGGGAGAGGACCTTAATTACTGCATCGATTATTTATGCTTGATTTGCATATTTGGATGGATGGATTAGTGTGGTTGATGACTTGGTTGCTGATATGATTATTTGGTGATTATTCTTTATTGAAGTGGATTTTACGGTGTACATATCGGTATTTGACAAGTTTCACCGTAAAAATGAATAGTTGGGTTTATTGAGTTTAAAACTGATTTAATAGATTTTTGTTTCTCTAAAATTATGTTGGGGCAGATTGAGCAAAAGATTTCACTTGAAAATGGTTTTCGGATTAAAAACTGCATAACGATGAAAAGCTCGGTAAAAACGTGTTTTATTTATCTTTAAGATTTTGATGACTTTAAAATGGTCAGTGTGGATTGTTAAATGGGTTTTGGTCTGGAAAGGGTAAATTGGACAGTTGGTGGATTTTTTTATCTTTAAAATGGTAAAAATGAGCTTAATACGAGATTTGCGGTAAAGACCGAGTGTAATATTATTTTCATGGTTTTGAGCTGTTGAAAAATATAAAAACTGGACAGACGTGTTTTAGGATGATAAATGGAGGTTATTGTATTTTTTGGGAGATTTTCGGATTTACCGTTTTGTTGGAATTTAAGTTACCGGAAAATAATGGTTAATACGATTATTTGCATGAATTTTGTGAGGATTTTAATGAAGGAAAGCGAATTTTGAGTTAAGGATATTTTTAACCGCAACTGGGTTATTTACAATTATTTGCATCGGGGCTATTTCATGAAATTGTTGATGAATTTTGGATGAGGAATGGTGATATGGTATTGCCGAGTAGCTTTACTGGAGAATGAGATGATTTATGTGATTTAGTATTGGATGATGGGATAGTTGATTTTTAGAAACGTCGAGTTGATAATCGACGGGAAATATATATATGGATCGGTTAATCGGTGAGACTACATTGATTCCGGATTGTTTGTGACGGATGAGAAAAATGGAAATGGTTTGATTCGTGATCATATTAATTCATGTAGATTTAGAAAAGGGTATGCACTTACCCTCACCCCTTGAGAGTGAGTAGATTTAGCTTGCTTGTGCGATTTAGTGTTGTGGTTGAATGAGCACAACAAATGAGTGTTGTGCTTAAAAAACACGGATTGAGTGTTGTGGTTGCATGAGCACCACGGATGATGATTTGCTCGAGCGGAGTAAATGTATGGTGACCTTGGCGCCAATAATAATTAACCGGAATTTTCATATCATGCATTGATTATGTGTTCGTGAAATTATGTGATTATCTTATTGGATAAATTGATTTGGTGATGATGAGTTGGTGGATTCGATAATTTGATCGATAATTTATATATGATGATTTAAGATGGCATCTAGAGTACTAAATTACGATTGATTATGATTGTTTGATTAGCTTATTGCGGTCCCAAAATTAGGTTGTGGGAAAGATCCACATACACAGCTTAGTTGCTGACCCACGTCTGTTTTCAGGCTCGCAGGTAAAACTAGCATCGGACTACTGAGGCTGCTTTATCCTTCTGTACTACCATCATGAGGTAGTTTGGAACATTTCCTTCTGTACTACCATCATGAGGTAGTTTGGAACAATGTTCTGTCATGAGGACTAAAAATGCGAACTCGCGGTTTAAACGGTGTCGAGTTTCGATATAAATCGAGTAAGTTATGTACGTTAGTTGAGTTTTGGATTAAACTCACCCGTAGTTTATGAAACGCCAAAAATACCCCTCGAG